AAGACTCATTGCTCCTGCACGACGGGAGAGAACTTCAACGAGTCAGAGGAACTTGCCTTACCTGCCCTGAAGCCGACTTACCACATCAGCCGTTCGTCTCTCACCACAACCCGAGCGCACCAGCATACGCACCACTGGAGAAGGTGTACAGCGACATCCTGTACAACCGTGAACCCGGACAAGGAACATACAGCTACGTCATCACGTTCATAGACGCCGCCACACTTTACGTCTGGCACTTCAACCTTCCTAGCCGAGACATGGCCTTCGAAGCCTTCGTCGCCTGGCTCCCAGCGGCAGAACGAGAGTCAGGGGTAAAACTGAAAAGTTTTCAAACAGACTGGGGAGGAGAATACCAGTCACAACGATTCAAGCAGTACTTGGCAGAAAGAGGAATCAAGAGGCTCATCTCCCTTCCCTACGCTCACCAACAGCAAGGCGTAGCAGAAAGGATGAACAGGACTCTGCAGAACACCATGCGCAAACTGCTACGTGGCATGCGGCTACCCACCCACCAGTGGCCCGAGGCGATGGACCACGCCGTCATGCTGCACAACTTGCTATCTTCGTCGTCACTCCCGAACAACGCATCACCGCACCTGCTATGGACAAGAAAGTTGGGCAGCACAAAAATGTTACGAGTCTTCGGCTGCATGGTACAGTACCGACCCCCAGCTGCACGAGCCGGCCGATTCTCCCTATGCGCACAGTGGGGGCTACACCTGGGCATCGAAAGAAATTATAACGCGTGGAAGATTTTCGACATCCACACCAAGGAAACAGTAGCAGCACGTGATGTCATTTTCTACGAACGACTCATCCTTCCGACGTACCTTGCCAACCTGGAAGAAGATCGGGATCTCACAGGTGGCTTCCGTGGTGACCGAGCCTTCGCCTCGGCAGCAGACGAAGCTGACTGGGACGAGCAGAACGTGGATGGAGCCTCGGAAGAAGCCGGACCTCTCCCTTACTGTTCCATCGATGTCCCAATGGATAACAAAAATCCTCGCGACAGCACCAACGCCGAAGTGTTTGTACTACCACTTCGCCGACAACGGTTACGTTACACCTGCACGAGTCAACACCAACGAAGCAGAACGCATAGGGCCCAACTTCATACCTGACCCAGAAGCAGGTGACGAAGCAGCTTATCCCGCGGACACAACACTCCCCCGATACACACAGAGTGGACTCCAAATTCTCGGCCTCGTCACCGCGGTTCACGGCACGACAACTCCTAAGGAGCCTGCCACGGTTCAGCAGGCTCTGGGGGGGGAACACAGGGAGAAATGGCGTGAAGCCATGGACACAGAACTGAAAGCACTAGAGGAACGCAACACTTGGAAAGTCGTTCCCATCAGCGTAGCGCAAAACAAGACAATACTCACCAGAAAATGGGATTTCCGTGTGAAGACGAATGCGGACGGCACCATCGACAAATTCAAGGCGCGCTGGGTCGTACGCGGTTTCGACCAAGAGCACGAACGTGATTTCACCGAAACATTCGCCCTGGTCAGTCGACACACCTCACTGCGGATTCTTCTCGCGATCGCCGCCATGAAGAAGAAGAAACTGCGACAAATCGACGTCGCAAACGCCTTTCTCTACGCACCTGTTGACGCAGAAATCTTCGTCGAGCTACCGCACGGCTCCAACGGAGAACCTAATCACGTCTGCCAGCTACTCAAATCGCTCTACGGCATCAAGCAAGCCCCGCGGCTATGGCAACAATACCTGCACACTCGCCTCATTCGCATCGGCTTCAAGCAACTACCGCACGATCAGGGCATGTATCGGCTCACGAAGGGCACCGACTACATCTTGTTTATCGTCTATGTAGACGATCTGCTCTACATCGGCTCGACCGACAGTGTCACAACCTGGTTCGAAGGGGAGCTACAACAAGACCTCACGCTCACGGTCTCATCTACCGTTACACAGTACCTCGGCCTCAACATCCGGGAAGAGGAAGACGCGATCTACCTCAGCGACGCAAAGTACGCGGACACTATCGCCAAGCGCTTCGCTCTCACACCGACCACCGTCTCCACGCCGTACCACTACACGACAGGAAGCAACAAGGAAGGCTCTGCTCTACTCAAGCCCGCCGGCATACGCGACTACCAGAGGAAGCTGGGATGTCTCCTCTTCGCAGCTGTCACCTGCCGTCCGGATCTATCATACTCCGCAAGCCAGCTCGCCACCTACCTCAAGAAGCCCGAAGCAAATCACATGGCAGAACTCAACCGTGCTCTTCACTACCTCGCCAGCACCCCAACCGTCGGCCTAACCTACCACAAGAACGGAACTACGACTCCTAAGCTAATTGACTACGTTGACGCCGATCACGCCGGCGACTCCGACAACAGGCGCTCGCGCACCGGCTACATCTACCGCCTCGAGCCTATCGGTCCTATCTCCTGGCAGTCGAGCAAGCAGGAATTAATCGCCCTCTCTTCAGCAGAAGCAGAATACATCGCACTCTGCTCAGCCACCAAGGAAGGACTCTACCTTCGCGAACTGCTGGAAGAAGCAAAATTGGCCCAGTTACCAAGCTTCACCCTTTTCTGCGACAACCAGTCAGCTATTTGCATCGCCAACAAGAACGGCTTCGCGAACAGGACGAAACACATCGCCCTGCGATACTTCTTCGTGAAGGACGAGATCGAGAAAGGGAGACTCGAGCTGTCATACTGCCCCACATCCGAGATGGCAGCTGACTATTTGACCAAGAAGCTCGGAAAGCAGAAGTTTGAGTACTGCATGCTGCTGACTGGACAGAGCCACGTCACCAACAACGACACTCCAGAAGCGAAGGGGAGTGTTGGAAACAATTGATTTTAAGGCGCTTCTGTCGTGGCGAAAACACCAAGCCACAAGCGAAGCAAAGCATATCGAAACACCCGCGAGTCAACCCTCGGAGGTTGAAGTAACCGCTGGAGGTTACGCGAAGGTCAAAGGTCAGCGACCTTTGACCTGACCAGTACAGTGCGACAGCAAGGACACACAACTGACTCGTTACAGAGCAGTTGCCCGAGTCGTCACTGTATCGAACCGCAACAACAACAATAAAACAGTTATAACTGTATCCTTTCATATTCCTTGTACTCATATATAATCTTGTATCTCTTTGCTTTAATCAACTTACTTTGCCCTCACACACTAGCGCAAGGTGGTTCACAATCTCATCATTAAACGCTTCCGCTATTACATCGTTCCTACCCAGAGTTCACCCCTGCAAAGATCCTCTAAGGGCTTTTCTCAGCCCAATACGGGTGTCTCTTATAAACAGGCTAGCCTTATTATAAGACACCTATTTGTGTGTACAAGATAGACATACCGGTATATGTCTTATAATCAAAACCGGGGTTTAGGGGTTTTCTTATAAACACGGGGGTGTCTTCTAAACGATCCTTGCCTTCTTTAAGGGGGTACATGCATACATTCATGAATCTCTACTTCTACCTAGCCCCCCTCGATCACCGCCTCCTCACCTGCACTAACAGCATGCTCTCTAACACCCAGGTCTGGTACTCGCCAGGCATGCCTAGCCGTCTCCCTAGGCTCGATCATGCGGTCAGCCTCGGCCGCCGCTCCGCGGTAGTTGGGGGTCTCCTGGTACAGCACCTCCAGGCCGGTTGCCACGGCCACCTCCCTCATGCCCTCCGCCTGCATCTCCTCCTCCTCCTCTTCCTCCTCCTCCGACTCCTCCTCTGGAGCCTACCCAAGCAGGCGGGTGTTGTCGCCCGTGGTCCCCCCGAGGCACATGTCCTCGGAGACATCGGTGGTGCTCCTGGCGCGCAGATGAGACATCACTAGGTGGTTCTCCGTTCCGTCCAGCTTGCTTGAAATCCCACAGTGGCGGAACGCGTCGATGATGACCTGCTTGGGGACTTGATCCCAAGCCTCCGCGATCCACTGCAGCACCACGGGGTGCGGAGGCCTCCGCAGGTTCCCTGCGGGTGGGACAGAGGCAGGGGCAGCGAGTCGTTAAAGATATGGACAGGAAACAGAGCAGAGATTTAATTAGGAAGTTTAGTCACCCTTCTTCGTCTTCAAGTGAATCCCTTCACGCATGAACCACCTGGCGTAGTGCGCTCGCACGGCAGCCTTGAAGCACCGGTTGATGGAGACGTCCAGGGGTTGAATCTGGCTCGTACAACCCGCTGGGATAACTGCAGGGGTGATGCTGTACGTGCGGTACAATTGAAGCATGCTCTGGGTGATGTGACCTCAGTAGGAGTCCAACACCAGCATCGCACGCCTCGCGTTCTGGCCGCGCTAGGGGTTCAGATGGGGCCGGGCTTCCTTCGTCAGCCAGGTCTGCACAGCGCTCTCGTCCATCCACCCGTTGTCCTGTGCTTGGACCACGATTCCTGCCAGGCACATGGGGATAGACGGGCATCAGCCAATGAGGGCAAGCTCATCAGGCATTCGGCTTTTGAATTCATTGTGCTTACCTTCCGGAATCTCACCGTTGGGCACGTTCTTCAGCTTGAACCACACCCATGGCTGCAGCTTCTCCCCGGATGCGGTGCACGCGAGCATCACCGTCGGCCGCGTCTTCTGGTAGCCTGCAGTGCGGATTGGGACCGAGCGCGTGCCACGGTGCTCGATCGTCCTCTCGGCCGGCATCTCCACGAATAGTGGCGTCTGGTCTGCGTTAATGATGCGGGCCAGGTCGATAATGTGCCACGCCCTGTTGATGCGCACGAACTTCCAGAATGACTCGCAGTCCTTAGCGCACTCTGCAAAGGGAACAAACGCCACGGAAGCAAGGGATGATTAGAAATAGGGCGAGGAACATGCAGTCAAGCGTCGAGCGCGAAACGAATTCCTTCACCACTCACCAGCCGATAAACGTTGGCCGACCTTGGTCTTCACACGCATGACCAGGTTCCAGCGGTCACGGAAACGCTGGCTCCAGTGAGAGCTCGCGTTCCAGTTCTTGCCGGGGTGGTGTTTCTTCATCCACTCGCGGCTCCACTTCTGGGTGTCATTCACCGAGATCGCCACCCCATTAGCGCGCTGCAAGCAGATATGTACAACGCCGCCTCCATGTTGGGGTAGTGTGCGTGGCGCCCCCCCCCCCATGCATCCCGCTTGCGGCAGTTCGCCGCTCCCTTGTAGAAGCCCGCAGCTGCATCCGCACTCCAGCGTCTGATGCAGACGATGGATGCGGTTGATTCCAAGCTTGTCTTCTTCAAGGAGCCAAGCTCCTGATAGCGGCGCGCCAACTTCAGCTTCTCGCGTACGGTCCATCCACGTTGCCTTTTCATACTGTCCTTGCTACGAGAGGAAGGTGGACGGGAGTTGGGATTATGGAGGGTGGGGTCTTTCTGCGTGGCCTTCTCAGGGAATAAAGGAATCGGGCTTGCAGCCTCCGCGTAGTCATCGTCGCTGCCGAGCGTCTCGTTGACCACGTTGTCATCAGGATTTGGCGTCTTCTTCGTCTTCTTCTTAGCAGCACCCTTGCTGGATCCAGGGTCGCCGTCGGTTTTCCGCTTGTTGCTTGTACGGCGACGAACAGTGGCCTTAGTAGGGGCTTCCGCGACCTTGGTTTTACCCTTCTCTGCAGCGGTGAGTATCGGTCGACGCTCCTCCCCCGGACTGTCGTCATCAGAGAGCACCACGCGGGCACGCTTCGGCTTGGACTGTAGGCGATGGCGCAGCCTCCGCTTTAGTAGCGGAACATCGTCGTCCGCCGTGATGCTCAATGGGTCGGCATCGGAGCTTTCACTGTCAGATAAGACGGCATCAGCACATCCCTTTGTAGCAACCTCATCCGCCTCCGCCACAGCATCCGCATCCGCTTCGGCAATGGCAGCCACCTCCGCAGGCGCAACAGCCTCGGCCTCCGCATTCGCATCCACCGTCGTTCCCGTTGCATGCGCCGCTGCCTCCGCGTGGTCACCATCAGCATCGGCACCTCCGTCGTTGTCCGAATCACCAGTCCGCCACTCTTCCACTTCGTCGTCACTCCCGACCGGCCGATTCCACCATTCGTCCTCCTCGATGTCGGCAGGAGCTAATTCATCCCCCGAAGCGCTGTCGTCGTCGCCGTGTTCTTCGTCGCCGTCGTCCCCGTCACAGCTTGCCCCAAAGGCGGCGGTAGATCTTCCCGCCTTGCTCGCGTTCTTCGCCATGGCTTCACGGATGTCATCACCAGGCGAGTTAATTCGCCCGTAATTATTCACCTGCACGTGAGGACGAGGTGAGGACGTGCCTACGGGTACTTTGCTGTGCATGGTTAGAAAGCCTGCCGAGAGCAAGGTTGAGTTGAGTATTCAAGCACCAAATGAAGCACGAGCCCGACTACCCCCCATAGCCAAAGTGCCCCTTCCAAAGGTGCCGAGCCGCTCCTCTACAAGTAATCTCCTCATAGAGGACAGCCCTTACGCTACCATCGTGTTGCAGCAGCATTCTGGAAGCATCCATGCGCTGCTGGCAACAAAAGGACGCTGGTAGCATTATTAGAGGACCTTTGCTGCATCCCTCTCGTGGCAAGTGTGGGCGCTACATGCATCACGGCCGAGGTCGGCATGTTTCAATAAATCTAGCCCCTGGGTGGTTTCTACACACTTTGCAAATGTTTCAGACTACTTATATTTTTTCCATTTATAAGACTTATAAGACACCCTAAACCATCCCAAATACAAGATAACTCTAGCATTTTGAGTAGTGTACGAGATAAGACATGTATGACTTATATCCGGGCGATGACGGTAGTGAGTCAGTTATGTGTCCTTGCTGTCGCGCTACTTTTCGGCGAGTCAAAGGTCGCTGACCTTTGACCTTTGCTTAACTTCTTGCTGTTACATTTTGTCAACCTCTTCGGTTGACTCATTGTTGCTTCGTTGTAGTTCACCTCGCTTACAGTTCAGTGTTTCGATACATCAGAAGCGTAAACTACATGTTTTCAACACTCCCCTTCGCTTCTGGAGTGTCGTTGCTGGTGACGTGGCTTTGTCCAGTCAGCAGCATGCAGTACTCGAACTTCTGCTTTCCGAGTTTCTTGGTCAAGTAATCTGCTGCCATCTCGGATGTGGGGCAGTAGGATAGCTCGAGTCTTCCCTTCTCGATCTCGTCCTTCACGAAGAAATATCGCAGGGCGATGTGCTTCGTTCGGTTCGCGAACCCGCTATTCTTGTTGGCTATGCGAATTGCCGACTGGTTGTCGCAGAACAGGGAGAAGCTGGGTAACTGAGCCAGCTTTGCTTTTTCCAGCAGTTTGCGAAGGTACAGTCCTTCCTTAGTGGCTGAGCAGAGTGCAACGTATTATGCTTCAGCTGAGGAGAGAGCAATTAGCTCTTGCTTGCTCGACTGCGACAAGATAGGACCGATAGGCTCGAGTCGGTAGATGTAGCCGGTGCGTGATCGCCTGTTGTCGGAGTCGCGGCGTGTGATCAGCATCCACGTAGCCGATTAGTTTAGGCGTCGTGGTTCCAGTCTTGAGGTAAGTTAGACCGACCGTCGGAGTGCTGACAAAGTAGTGCAGTGCGCGATCAAGTTCTGCCATGTGCTCTGCTTTGGGCTTCTTGAAGTAGGCAACGAGTTGGCTCGGTGAGTATGACAGATCCGGTCGGCAGGTAACGGCTGCGAAGAGTAGGCATCCCAGCTTTCGCTGGTCGTTGCGTATGCCGTGTCACATTTCAGTGAATGTGAGCGGGATAGCGAGGAGCGAGAGGGAGGTGTACAAATTGTACATACTGTACATATCGAGCTGGGCAGTGCCGAAGATGGGAGGCGAAGGGAGGCGAGGAGAAGGGATGCAGGGAGGCGAGTGGGTATGAGGGAAGGGATGTCTGCCGAAGCGAAGGGGCGGGGAGTGCATGGCAGGGGTGTAGGGCGGCACTTACCTAAGAGAAGGGGGAGTGCGGGGTGAAATTACAGGGCATGGCAGAGGCAGCGAAGGCAGGGGTTTACCACCGGCACTTGGATGGGTGTGTGCATGCATGCTTGTTTGTTTTCTTGTGTGTGCAGGCAAGCTCTCAGGAGCCAGCTGGATCTGGGAGTGTCAGCTGGAGGCAAAGTAGCTAGAGGCGGGTAACATAGGTGGCAGGCAACGGGGATGTATGGCTTCTCGAAGGCAGCCTTGGCAGCTAGAGAGGAGAAGGATGAGGAGGAGCAGGAGCGGTGGAGGCAGAGCTGGTAGAATAGGAAGGAAGCTGGCAGAGCTAGCCTTAATGCTTGTATGTTTCCTTACTACACGAAATTCTTGCAACAACGAAGCAAGTGGTGATTGTGAAGGAGATAGTGCAAGCTATGGAGTAAGCGATAGTTTAGCGGTAGATCTATGTGACGGAGCCGGAGCTCATCACATACAAGCATTCCGGATGCCCACGCGACCGGGGCCGGATTACGCAGCAAAGGAGCAGCTTAAGGAAGGCGCAATGATGGAGAATGTGGACAGGAACGAACCCGTCCCGGGGATCAGGGTGGAGGCGCACGGCGCTGAAGGAAGAACGGAGGAAGGGAGGGGCGGAGCCACGGGCTCAGAAGAGGACCGTCATGGGCAGCAACGCGACGAGCCCGAAGAAAACAGAGAGGAGAAAGAGAAGCCGTCGCACGGTGACACCGCGACGGCTAAGCAACTGCGGAGGGAGAACGAAGGGCAGTATCGGCGCAGCGTCCTACGCTGGCGGACGAACAAGAATTTCATCTCACGCAACACCCACGCTGCCTGAGCAGATGGGGCACAAGAGCTGGCAGACGATGGAGTTCCGCGATCTAACAATGCCGACTTGGCCCACTGGGCGTTCGACAAGCTTGCAAAGAGCTACATTACGGCCATATCGAAGGTGGCGTTGTTAAGAAAGGTCGGCTACACAGGCAAGCGCAGCGACTACCACCTCGGCCGCAGTATGGTTACGCTCGACGACAAGGTGGTGGCCCTCGTCGCCTAGCATATCTTTCCGTAGGCGGAAGCAAACTGGCCAAGGTGAGCAATTCAGACAGCAAAAAGTCCGACTACCCGCCACCCATTTCCATGCTGACATTCCACCGATGGTTGATTGTATTAGTGTTCGTCTTGCAAACAGAAAAGTACGCCACAGCGAAAGAACCCAACATGGCCGGAGTGCACTTCTTGAAATCGCTCATCGAGTTCAGCCACCACATCATCGCCAAGGATCTTGCTTGGAAGCTGATGTGCAAGCCGTGGCACCCGTACGCCCAGGGTTCCAAGCTCTGCCGCTACCCTGACTTCCAGAAATGGGCCAAGGACGTCAACCGGGTGGACCTCGAAACCTTCGTCATGCGCCATACTTTGATCGAGAACCCTCAAAGGGTTTAGCATGCACGTTCTAGCGACCACTAAGACAAGTTGTTCTGCTTCATTTGCTCACCGTTTGCCACCCATCCCACTTGTATCGTTGGAATTCAGCGCGAGAGTCGACGCCAAACATCAGGTCGACCAGTTGACCATAATGCTGCATCGCCACGGGCAACATGTCGCGATCAAGAAGCTTGAGATGCAGAAGAAGTTGGAGGAGAAAGAGGCGGAGATCGCGAGGCTGATGCAGGCTCTCAAGCTGGCCGAGGCACGGCTGGCACTGACTGCGCCAGCGCTGCCGACCACAAGGCCGATGACCAACACCGAGAAAGCAGGGGTTGTCAAGATCGAGAAGCAGCAGGACGACCTGGTGTACAAGTTGAACATCGTGCATCCCTGGCGCACGTCCAAGACGGTCGAATCTGCATGGCGCTGGTGGAACAACCCCTCGCACTTTGACGCGCGTCCCTTGCACGAACGTTACGAGGAGCCCAGATTCCTCGTTAGACACATGCACATGATCTGCAAGGTCGAGAAGCCCGACACACCCATAGCGCCGGCGAAGTCGGCGATGAATTCTCGTGACTAAAAACCGTCGATGAACGAATGTCCCACGACCGTCTATGGTCTCCGTCAGGCTCCTCGTGAGTGGCACAACACTCTTTGCTCTACCCTGTATGACCTGGGTTTCCAACTGTCTTCTGCCAACCTATCGCTATTTGCTCGTCGTGGCTCCACATTTTTCTTTGTACTGGTCTACGTCGACGACCTGGTCTTCGCCACTGCTGACAGGGTTGCCTTGGCTGACGTGAAATTTGATCTGCAGAAGAGACACACGTGCACTGACCTTGGTGAACTGCGCCACTACCTTGGCCTGCAGATCACCAGGGACAGAGCAGCTCGCACCATCACTCTGACTCAGTCACGCATGGTGGAGCAGGTCCTTCAACGATTCGGGTTTCAGTTCTCCACTGCACAGCCTACTCCTCTTGCTGTTGACCACGAACTCACTGGACCTTTTTCTGACAAGCCGTTTGAGCCTCGTGGTCCTTACCCAGACCTTGTAGCCTACCTCATGTACCTGATGACTTGTACTCGCCCGGACCTCGCCTTCCCTCTCAGAATCCTTGCTCGCTTTGTTGGGGAGACACCGTCCTGTTCACTGGACAGCTGCTGTAAGGGTGGCAAAGTACCTAGCGATGAAATCAGGCATGGGGCTTGTGCTTGGAGGGAAACAACCTGTCATGCTCACTGGTCACTGTGACTCTTCCTGTCAAACATTGCATGTTTATATTGTCTAGGCTGTAGTGGGTTACACCTTAGGGGGTACACAAAGTTAGGGTTTCCTACTTGTACCAAACTCTGTTCTAGTTCATTCATTCCTGCTCAGTTATTTCTGACATGGTATCAGAGCAGGTCCTTCGCTAGGACTGTTCTTAGGGCCCACCGACTTACCTACCTGCTTACCTTCGCTTCTTTTCGGCCCCGATGGCCCCGTCGATCTAGCACGATCTAGCGGCCCTGCGGCCCCTTCGAATTTTTTTTAGCGGCCTCTCACGGCCCCCGTCGCGTCGCCCCTTAGCGCCCCGATCGGCCCCGTCACGCCGCCCGCGAACCGCACAGCGCGCCGCGCTCACAGCCCGCGAACCGCCCACGCGCAGCCCGCGACCAGCCCGCGCAGCCCGCGCACAGCCCGCGAACTGCCCGCGAGCAGCCCGCGACCTGCCCGCGAACCCCCGCGAGCCGCCCGCGACCCGCTTACGCAGCCCGCGAGCAGCCCGCGCAGCCCGCGCTGAGCCTGCGCGGCTCGTGCGCTGACCGCCGCCGGCCCGCACGCTGCCCGCACTGCTCCCGGCCCGCCGCTGCCGAGCCCGCAGCCGCCCGCGCACCGCCGCTGCTGCGCCCGCTGCCGCCCGCGCACCACCGCTGCTGAGCCCGCAGCCGCCCGCGCACCGCCTCTGCTGAGCCCGCCGC